GGTGACGGGCGCGAGGGGCCGGACAGACCAGGGGCTCGGGGCTGGCCAGGGTTGCTGGGTGCGGGGCTGGGGGCACTGGGCGGGGGGCTATGGGGAGAGGAGAGGGGCTGTGGGAGAAGGGGCCCAGGGAGAGGCCATGGGAAATGCTGCCACCTCTCCCCCGTGGGCCAAGAGCTGATAGTGGGGCTCGGCAGCCAGAGCAAACCCAGCCGGGGGCCGGCGTGGGCAGCTTGTGCCAGAGCCGGGCCGCCCCCCATTTCTGCCAGGCAGCATTGCCAGCCCCAGGTGTTCAAAATCAGGAGTCAGGCTCACCAAAAATCATGAGGTGATGTAAAAATACTGGATTTGGGGGTCTTTTTATTTGCTTTCTGTTTGTTGAGCCTTTAGGGTGCACTGGGGTCAGGTTTGGAAGCTGTCTCCACGCCACTAGGGCTAGAAACTTACTTTTCCTTTAGAATGGCAGCAAAAAATCATCACATACCCACTTGACTCCAGGAGCTGGGGCTTTAAGGGAAACAATAATTATCGTGAGACTCATGACAAAATGATGAGAGTTGGCAATGGCTAGTTCCTAGTCACTAGCGGAGCAGTAACTGCATCGACCGCCAGGGCTGGGTGGCTTGGAAGGATTCGGTTTTTATTGGTAAATGTTGATTCCAGCAAACACTCAGGCACCCACAAAATATTTCCACCCATCATGACCGAAATTTACAGCTAAGAGAAATCCTGCCTGAGAACATACCAGGGTTTGATTTGAGGCTGTTCACGTGTGAGGTTGACAATTTGTGTTTTCACATTTACAAAGATTTAGCTATTTGAATCTCAACTTCTACTGTCCTTAAGTAATTGTCTGACACCCCCCACCCCAACAGGTTCCCACAAATGTGAAAATTTACACTGATAAAAATGGAAAAAATACTTAAAGCCCATAACTTTGCACAGCTGTGAACATTGAAATGGATAAAAGTTTGTTAATGAACATGGATATTATCAGTTGAAATTATATAAAAAAAACCCTGCCCAGCCTCATTATGTGGGACAAGGGGTAGCTGGGCACAAAACGAAGTTTGCCCGTCGCAGTAAGGTGAGATCAGCTACTTGGTGCCCAGCCTCCAGACAGGGAGAGCCCGGTGTCCTCCTTCCAGCTCCACCTCTACGGGAGCGCTAGGCTGCGTTGTCTCTAAGAACGGCCTCTTCACCCCTTGCCCTGCATCTGAGTCAGGTCTCTTGCCTTGACAGGCACTATCATAAATACAGGGGAGCAAATTGGAGCCTATTCCGCCTCTTGTGTCATCAGCAGGACGCCCAGATTCTGCAGCCACAGACTGTTGCTAAAAACTCCCTTTTTTGGTCCATGCTTAAAAACTACCACTGAGAATGCGATCAGGTAGCAGAGGGGTAGCCGTGTTAGTCTGGATCTAAAAGCAACAGAGAGTCCTGTGGCACCTTACAGACTAACACACGTATTGGAGCGTGAGCTTTCGTCCGACGAAGTGGGGATTCACCCACGAAAGCTCATGCTCCAATACATCTGTTAGTCTGTAAGGTGCCACAGGACTCTCTGTTGCTTTTGACAATGTGATGTTAGCGGTGGGAAGACCCCAGCTTGCGGTTTGGCTCCCAGATGGGGAGGGAAGGGAGGGAGTTTGCAGGACAGGCAGGTGTTGGGTCCATAGGCCCCACTTCCACCCCTCAGTAAATTCGTAGGCAGCTGTGCTGTACTCTGGTTCTTGGCCTTCAGGCGGTGACTGAGTCTGGATTGTGTGCAGTGTTGTGGCTGTGTTGGTCCCAGGAGATCAGAGAGACACGGGGGGTGAGGTAATATCTTTTATTGGACCAACTTGTGTTGGTGAGAGTGACAAGCTTTTGAACTGCACAGAGCTCTTCGGCAGGTCTGGGGAAGGCAGTCAGAGGGTATGTCTGCACTGCAATTAGACACCCATGGCAAGCCTGTGCTGGCTGACTTGGGCTAAGGGGCTATTTAATTATGATAGACGCTGCAGCCCTCCGGGATCCTCCCACCTCGCAGGTTCCTAGAGCCCAGGCTCCAGCCCTAGCCCGAACACCTAATGTGCAATTAAACTGCCCCTTAGCCAGAGCCCCAGTCAGCCGGCACAGGCCAGCGCGGGTTTTTAATGACAGTGTAGACATACCCAGCGTGTCACAGCTAAATACAAGCTGGACCAGGTTGTTTCAAGGTGAAGTGGCCCATTAACACCCTTCCGGTCATAGAACAAAAAAAGGGAGTTATTGGGTTATTGATTGTTGTAAGAAGCCATAAATCCAGTGTCTTTATTAAGATCATGATTTTTAGTGTCTAGCAAAGTTAGGAATTTAAGCTCGGAGGCTTGTCTTTTGAAGGTGTTGTGCCGGTTTCCTGGGAGGATGAGAACTGAGAGGGCAGATGTAGAGCAATTGCTTTGTGGAAAGTGTTCACCCACAGTTGATACGGTGCTTTTGTCTTTTATCATTTTCCTGTGTGAATTCATTGAGAGCATAGTGCTTGTCTGGTTTCATCCGCATAGTTATTCTGGGGGGATTTAATGCGCTGGATGAGGTACAGCACATGTTGTGACAGGCATGTGTAGGACCCATGGATCTTGAAAGGTGTGTTGTGGGGGGTATTGAACATCGTAGCAGAGGAGGTGTCAACAGGTTTTGCATCTGTTGTTCTGGCAGAGTCTGGTGCCACTTTGATTTGGTGAGTCCTGGTATATGGGGAGCTTGCTTCTGATGAGAGCTTGACGAGGTTGGGGGGGTTGTTTGAAGGCCAGAAAGAGGGGTTTGGGAAAGATTTCTTTCAGGTTGGGGTCCCCATCAAGTGTGCATTGTAACTGTTTAGAGATACCCTGTATGTATGGGTGCCAGCGTGGGGTGGTAGGTGACAACTAGAGATGTGAAGGCAGAGAGAGTTCCTTTTCTGTACTGAAGCTGGTTCTTTTGAGGCATTTGAGGCCCATTCCATGACGTGATCTACTTCTCCGGTGAGGTGTCCTTGTTTAGTGAAGGTAGTTTAAAGTGTGTTAATGTGTGTATCCTGGACTTGCTCCTCAGAGCAGATGCTGTGGTATCTGAGTGCCTGACTGTAGATAACAGATTTATTTCTTGGTGCGTTTAGGGTTGTTACTGGATGTGTGATCTGTGAGTGTTTTGTAAGTAGTTGTCTGTAGGGTTCCATTGCTGAAGCTGATTGTGGTGTCCAGGAAGTTGATGCTGGTGCAGGAGTGTTCTAGAGAGAGTTTAATTGGATGGGTGCTGGTTGTTGAAGTTGTGGTGGAAATCTACAAGGGAGCTTAGGTCATCTGTCCAGATATATCTCAGGTATATCATTGGTTTCATGGTGCATTTGTCCAGATATTCTTCCTCAAGGTGCCCTTGCAGAAGTTGGCATATTGGGGAGCCATTACCCATTGCTGTTCCCATGGTTTGGACAAAGTGTTTGTTGCTGAATGTGAAATTGTTATGGGTGAGGCTGAAATGGATGAGTTTGATGATGTGTTTGGGGTGGATATCTGAGTGTTGTCCATTGTTTTGTAGATATTTGAGGAAGGCAGCCATGCAGTCATTATGAGGGATGTTGGTGTATAGGCAGATGGCATCCATGGTGGTAAGGATGGTGTTCTGAAGGAGGATGTTAATGTTGCAGAGTTTCTGGAGAAAGTTGGTTGTGTCCTGGAGGAAGCTGGCCCTTTGTGTGACGAGTGCTTTGAGAATGGTTTCTATGAGTCCTGATGCTCCCTCAGTAAGAGTACAATGGCCAGATATGATGGACCTGCCTGGGCTCCCTTGGGAGGCACGTAGAAGGTCCCTGGGGTGGTCTCATGGGGGGTGAGGTTGTATAGTTTCTCTTGGAGTTGTTTGGGGAAGGATTTGATGACATCCTTTAAATATCTGGTGAATTGTGGTGTGGGGTCTTCTTTGAGTTTCTTAGAGTAGGTGGTGTCGATTGGCCTCATTGACGTAGTCATCATGGTCGAGAACTATGATAGCACCCCCTTTGTCTGCTGGTTTGATCGTTTTCTGGTGGCTGGATTTCAGGAACTGTATAGCTGTCCTCTCGGCAGTGGAGGGATTGTGGTGGTTGTGATTGGTGTTAAGGATTTCACAGCCAATCAATGTGTGTGGTTTTGTCCACTGTGCGGTGTCGAGTCAGATGATTCTTTCTTCCTGTGATTGTCGGTGGGAACACGGTAGTTGAGGGTGGTGTCATCATTGTTGT